CAGGCGGGCAGTCAGGTGGTCGGTATACGATAGCTATGCACAGATGGAGATGGGGAATGTATAGTATAACATGTTCCACATATCAATTGGAGCCCAAATGCAGGGGAACTGTTTTTGCCGCGAGGAAGTTTCTGAGGTAGACTATAACGCCTCCTTTTCTTCTCCCTTCTTTTCGATCTGCTCGGTAATGTTGAAAGCCTTTCATCTCGATTTCTCCATCTTTGATATCTTCCCTTAGGTGTGACTCGGTTAAGGCAAGCATGATTATTCCTTCTGTCTCGGCAATTTCTTTAAGTACGCCGATCTTGTGGCGTTTTCTTCTTGGGAAGATCCCCTCTATATTAGCTACCATGATGCTAGACTCTTCCCTTCCTTGCGTCCTTAGTTGCTGTAACAGTGCACTGCCAGGGGTCTCTGGCTCTGCAGCTGTTGCTGTGATTTCTGCTGTTGTTCGTGCAATGTCAACAGCTGCTGCATTTGTTGTTGAATCTGATCTACTTGCCTCTGTAGGCCTAAAAAATGGCTGCGCTTGATATCGAGTCCTGTTTGTTCTTTTTCACTCCGGTAGGTTGTGTTGGCCGGAGCGGAAATTTTTGGAACTGCTCTGTACCTTTGATTTCGATAGATTCGCCCTTCCCAGAACTGATTTTTTTAAACCATGTAATTCCTTTCTGATGTTTTGGGTTTGGCAGTATAATCTATCCTGTGTTCCGAGGAGGAACTATCAGGGTCACGTCTCTCTTCGGCATTACCACTCAAGTGCAGGTTGAGTTTAAGGTAGTGAAACCGACAGGAATCTCGTTTGCAAACTACATTTTTGATAGTATTCCAGCACAAGAACGGATGGTAATATTGACTGTCTCTCCCTTTTTGCATCCGCGTTGGTTTTTGCTTCCAAATATTGCAAATTTTTGACAGATCTTAGGGTGAGAATAGTTACAGTTCATTTCTTCATTCTCCCCATCGCACTTGCCCTGAAGATATCTCCAGCAAACGCGTTTCTTAACAGTTAAATGCATCTTGTTCGAGGCATTTAAAGAGGAGAGGGGAGGGGCAACGCTACGGTCAAGGTTCGGGTAGGCGGCGCATGTCGGGCAGCAGTGAGGGATGGGGGGGAGGGAGTGAGGGGAGTAAGGGAAGGTGAGGGAGTGAGGGGAGTTGAGGGTAGCCGCGTCTTAGTCGAACAGAGAGACCCATTCATGATAGGCCTTCTTCTCTCGGACGCTTGAACCGTTTGCACACTCTCCATGGCTTCTCTCGCCCACCCCTCGTTTATAACGCATTTTCTACACATGAATGATGTTCTCGTTTTTAAATATCTTGCAAGTTGGTATTCTGGAAGTAGTGAACATTCGAAGTGACAAAATTGTCTGCATGTGTTACATCTTAGTGCCAATTGTCCAAAATTGCATTTGTTGCATTCCAGACATTCTCCGGCAGGTTTACTAACACAGACTTTGGCTGCCATATTTCACAATCAATTGGTAACTCACTCACTTTTTACTGACTTTACTTAATTCCAGACTATTCATTGGAGCACTTCAGTATAGTATGAGTCAACAGAGTTAAATCGTACTCAATCATTTCTCAATCAATCGTTACCCGCACTCTATTTTTAATGGCTGTACTCAGTTTTTCAATAAATTGTTACCTGCACTCAATTTTTTACTTACTTTAATTAATTCCAGACTATTCACTTGAACACTTCAGTACAGAATGCAATAACACAGTTGAACCGACAAAATTAAATGTAACCGGCGGACCGCGCGCGACACCGAACGTCCGTTCGCCACGCTGTCGACAAGGAGCTGAAATTTTCTAAGCATGTTGAAACGCAATCTAACACATCCAACAAACTTCTTGGACTAATCAGACGCTCATACGAGTTCCTAGATGCAGAAACGATGAAGTAGTTGTTTGTTGCCGTCGTACGCCCGAGTCTAGAGTTTGGAAACGTTGTGTGGTCACCGAGATTTGAAAAGGACAGAAATTTAATAGAGAATGTTCAGAGACGTGCAACAAGGATAGTTCCAGGCTTGAAGGGCAAGTCCTATGAAGGAAGATTGAAGATTGTGAAGCTTCCAAGCCTCAGTTATCGACGTCTGCGTCTGGACCTCATTGAAGTATACAAGTATTCTCATGGTCTATACAAGGTCCCTGAATTACTAGAATTTGAAACAAGAACCAACACCAGGGGCCACGGCTATAAGCTAAAAAAACTGCGCTGCAACTTCTTCACGCGACAAAATTTCTTCTCGCTTCGAATCACCGACTTGTGGAACAGCCTCCCCGATGACATCGTTGGCGCTCCAAGTATGAACGCGTTCACGAACAGACTAGATAAAGCTATGGAAAAGTATATGTTCACATCAGGCCTACACTTCAGCGCCGACATCACTATGTTATGTTAATCCTAAGTGTCTTGATGAGACTATTATACACGTTACTTACGTCTGTTTTCTATGTTAAAAGTTGCCTTAGTGACATACGGCGGTAGAGGGTTAAAGTTTTGTGTTTAAATTAAAACGTAAAATTTACTAAAAACTTTCAGCTCCATCGTCAGCTCGAAAATTCTAGAACACAGATAAATCAGTGATTAGTATAGTCAAGAATACAACGAAAAACCTAAGCTGTAAAACCTATATATTTACAATTCAAAGCGGATAAGAGCTAAAAGCTAAATTCAAACTAGGCCTCTCTTTAAAAATATACAATGATTCTAAAATGCGCAAATCAGAAACACCGGAACTGGAAGCTAAAACTTTGAAGTCACTGTCAGAAACTGAAACATCGTACTGCTCGGCGTCAACCCGCACAGCCGAATGAGGGGTGCGCGACAGTAAGTTACCAGTTCTACAACTCCTGCCCCCTATGTTCTGCGGGAGCGCAGCCGTGCACTACCAATTTTGTACAGCAATAAGCCCTGAATCGAACGCCTTGGATCTCTCCGGATATCCACTAATCAGCCGTGAACCACTCGGCTTTGTCTTCCTTCGGCCTCGCATAGAACCTGCCGTGCACCACCAGGCCGCGGATCGAATCTGACTTCCGGGCATCGTTAACTTACGTAATTTTACGTTCACCGCATCTGAGGTTAGGTTTCAGATAGCATAGTACTGTTCCAAAATTTATCGTCCTTCGACAAGTGGCCGTTCGACCGAGGGCTGGTTCGACCCACGGCCTAGTTACGGACGGCTTGAAGTGTTGAAGGCTACGTTCCGGAAGGCAGGAATCATGATGGTCCATTACATCCAGGGCAGTGGTGGTCATCGGCAGGCGACCCTGTTCTGCGACCCTGGAATAAAGATTGCGAGACGTCATCCCGACGTACGCAGATGCACATCGTGCACAACTATATTTATAAACTAGGGACGTTCGCATATGCCATGAAGAGTATCTTTGTACCTAAAAAAAGAACCGATTTTAAAATGGTTGACCAATATGACACGAAGATTAACATTTTCGAAATACTTAGAAAACAAAAGTTTTAGCTCCATTGAAATAGTTTCGGATGCAGGGCCGAAATATGGAAGAGAACAATAAACAACATCCCTATTGTCGCGCTCGGGAGCAACCTCATGGTACCGCTTGGACATGAATTTCTTTATTTGGGTAAACACCAGATTAGTCGGAAATCCATTAAGCGAAAAGATATTGCGTAAAAATTCGAATTCAGCGTGCAGAATATTGTAAGTAGAACAAATACGAAAGCCCCGATGTATAAGTGTTTGAATCCCATTAATCTTAAATCGAAACGAGCAAAAGCTAAAAATGCTGATACTGAGACCTGTGAAAGTCGATTTTCGGAATACAGAAGTTTGAAAACGGTCATTAGATTTAGTGATATTGCAATCGAGGGACAGTCTATTGTTAAATTCCAGTAAATTTGGTGGATTTTTGTTGCGAATTTAGGTAATTGAAAAAGAGTTTAACGTGAGAAGGATGCTTAAAAAGTAAAAAAGTGTCATCAACGTATCTGTTGTAGAATATTGGCTTAAAATCAAGAGGGCAATTGGACAGCCAGGAAACCTCGTGAAAACACATAAAAATATTCGCAAAGGCTGGGCCGAGCGGAACCGTCAATCAGCCGGTAAATCTTGTTAGCAAATATGAAAAAAGAGTTTAAAACAGATAATTCCAAAAGATATTAAAAAAAATTACGTTTCAAACCTATACCGAGGTCATTTACATCATTAAACGAAGAATTCAGGCAGTTTTAGCTTCCGGTTCCGGTGTTTCTGATTTGCGCATTTAGAATCATTGAATATTTTAAACAGAGGCCTAGTTTGAATTTAGCTTTTAGCTCTTACCCGCTTGAAATTGCAAGTAGGTAGGTTTTACAGCTTAGGTTTTTCGTTGTATTCTTGACTATAATAATCACTGATTTATCTGTGTTCTAGAATTTTCGAGCTGACGATGGAGCTGGACTCCGAAACGTTTTCTTTAAAGATACTATGAATTTTTGTGGAGTTTTCTTTGCTTTTAAGTTTTTAGTGAATTTGCGATTCAAGCAAACGAGTGACATTATAGCGTAAAATTTATCGTATTGACACGCTACGGAAACTATTCCCGTATGTCGGAAATAGACACTTGGCCTATACTTTCAAAACACGCTAAGTGAGCGTAAGTACTTACGCACTTATTTCTTGTCTACAATTGGTGGATTACACTTGAAAGACCGTCAATGATTGGCGGATGAACTTACGATCTCTTAACTTTTTTTGAAGGTATAGACCAAGGAAACTATTTCTGCGTGGAGTTTTGAGCAAAAGATGGGAGACGTAATGACTGACAGTAAGGAAGTGTTATTTTAAGTAATTTAGCCTAAATCAACTAACCTCATTCTACAAGACTCATGGAAACGACCGCAATTGTATTAGTGAGTAATTATGGTACTTGCCTAGCATTATCTTTTTTCCTTAATGTTTGATTGTGTAAAAGTGCATTATTATTTACAAAATATTAACCTTCATATAACAGTAATAACACCTTCCTCCTAGACTACTTGTTGTTGTCATCCTTGCCGAGCAAAAACAGCGATGCCGGCAGTGGCAGTGACTCCTGTAAGGTTTGCCACCGTCTCCCGCTCCCGCCCTGGGATCAGGCGGACGACGTTTCGATGCTGCCTCATTGCCTGCCTCGGCGTGTACGCCTCATGTGCTACCAAGTGGAGCCTCATTGACATCAACATGACGCAGTTCTTGATAAATAACCACTCAGCTGTGATGAGGGCACAGTCAGCTCTCGTCTGCGTCCTGCAGGCGGAACAAGTCCTGCGCAACGCAAGCCGCGGCCTCGCCTGCTACTCCGACGGCCGCTGCGTCGTCGCAGACGGACCCTACGACCACCTCCGAGGACCGACCTCGGACAGCTCGACGTGCTTCTCGTTCGGTGCGCTAAATGAATATAGCATTTATAAAAATATCTTCTATCCGCCGATGTCGAATATTGTATTTTTTATTGTATATAGTCTTTTTGTCTAGTCGATGAGGAAACTTTCAAATTTTGCCCTTCTTAATGTTTCCAAGCATAAACATGTACCATTAATATAACCAAATTTATTAATTTCCTCCCCGCAACCCTGGTCGCAGGCCTCGGGAGCGGGTGCGTCAGTCCTCCTGGTGGCCTCAACGACACGCTCACCGCGGGGGTGCCCTGCAACGTGTCGCTGAGCTGCATGCCTCAGGGCTGGGCTGACGGTGAGTGGCGGTTACGTATAATAATGGTACTTGGTGGCGGTCTTGCCTAAATATTTGCTTGGGTTTCGATTAATAAAAAGCCAGTTCAATTATCTGTGCCTAAATCGCTATTTAATATCGACAGCGTTGAAAAAATTATTCAAATTCAAGATGTGCCTAAAAATGAGGCAATTTCTGGTTATTCATAGCTAATGCATTCCTAACGTCTCTACTGTGTATTCAATGACTAAAACCAATCCATTACTGTTCATGGAAAATTTTATTGAATTAATTTCGGTCTCGACTCTCCAATTCATACAGTTTCTAAACACGTTTGAGCAAAATTCACCATGTATTGAACTTTCCCTCCCTTCCCTCACATACCCTCCGCCAGGCAACTCTCCCAACAAAAGTGCGCCCCGACCTCAAGGAGTGAAGTACACCAGTGACGGTTGCTTCCTAGCAAGCACCTTCGCGATGACGTGGTGCGCCGCGTACCAATATTGCCTTGACGTTGGCGGGAAACTCTACGCGCCCACCGACCCCCAGAAATACATGAACTTCACTGGCATCGTCTCTGGTCAGTGACCTAGCTGATAACCAATCAACTAGCGGAACCCAAAGTGGTCTTGAACTTCGCATAAACACTCACCAAGTTATCCTTAAATTATGGGTACTTTAAAAGTTACCTAAAGGGTTAGTTACTCAGCATTGGGCGCCGCTGCCATGTGAAGAAAAGTAATTCTCAAATAGAAAATGCTGGTTTTCGGCGTCTGCAGATAAAAATATATTAGCGCCCATTTCGTTCTGTTGAAGCAGCAGTTAGCTGTGGCATCAAGTTCTACAAAATCATGGCTGCCATCGTGTTTAGGATATCCTCCGAAATAATAGTGCTAATAAAATAACAATCAACTATTTATGAGACCGGTATGGACGGACGGTGGGGTATTCTTTCACGAATACCCAACCTAAAAACATACAAACTTATGTAATATAAAATCCCATATATGTGTGATTATTGAAATATTTCTTTACCCTCTCCATAGGAACGATTTGGGTGGGTGCTGTTCGGATGCCGGACAACTCGTGGATGTGGCTCAGCAACGGACGCGGATTGGTCGTGGCTGCAGACTGGAACCCAGGACAACCGAATGAACAGCAAGCTTATTGTGGCTACATGGATACGAGCCTCTGGGGACTCTGGGACGCCACTTACGGATTGTTGAAGAAAGCTCTGTGTTCGATGAGTGAAAACTAAACTCTTGGTTTTCATTTCACGAAGTACTTACATAGTATTAAATATTGGTTTCTCGAGAATGATATTTCCTGTCTCGGTGCCTGCACTTCACTTTCATAACGAACTATGTATTTAAAGGCAATAACAATGAAAAAACTTTACTGGGGTTTTCATTGTAAATGAATTTTTTGGATAACTTGTGATTTAAGCTAACTAATGATATAAAGTCTCGCAAAGTTCTGTTTTAGTAGGACGAGTGCTTGTTTCGTTCCATTGATGTCAAAATTGCATGTATTAGGAGTAGATGTGAGTGAATTATAGAGGCTCAGGGTTGCAATGCAACTAACAGGTTACCATGGCATGTCATGGTAGCCACATCACAAATCGATCTTGACTTCATTGCTAAATACTGCTATTGCACTCGCTTCGAAGATTAAGCTAGATTTGCTGGCACTAATTTCTAAGATATTGAATAGAGTAGCCACTATCGAAACACATGCACTCAAGAGAAGATCAATATTTTATATACCTCCGGCCTGGTAGATTAGTGAAGATTGGCAAATTACCGGCGTTTTTATACAATGTCTTTGCTGTAAATGTTTTGCTTCTCCAAAATACAGTCCAATGGTATACCGTACGAATGAATACGGTATACCGTATGCTTATAAAGTGAGCATTCTGCCTCTAAAGGTCATGGCAACTCCGATTGATGTTATACGCTTCCGAATTCTAAATGTTGGCATTAAGATCTAATATTTGATTCTGCTTCAATCCGAATGTGTAAATGAGGAAATGATACTTTTACAACACTTCCCTTTAACTTTACTTTTTACAACACTTCTCTCTTTACAACTTCACTTCGTGCTGGTTGTTTGTTTGTCTGCTACAAATCAATATTTAACACTTCTAACAGTCTAATCCAGTGGTTCCCAAACTTTTTCAGGCTGGCGCCCCCTTTGGCACCCTGGTGAATTTCTAGCGCCCCCCACAGACATAGGCCTCTTTCATGAAATTTAGTACGCCGCAATTTTTAAAGATAAAGGTTAAACACAGCTGTGTATTTCACAAATAGAACCCCATTTAGTGAACCAATAAGTTTTTCAGCTGTTTTAACTGTTTCAGCACTAGAAACCTAGGACGTCTTGATCAGGCGAATTTACGGCCGGACCCGTGGCCGTCTCACGACCAATCTCCAAATTCAATTATCAAGTAATATCTCCCAAAATAATTAACGCAGATCAATGAAACTTGGAACACGTATTCATCAGAACCTAACGGTGATGTTTAGCTCGTATTTTTTTTTACATTTCACCTTCATTCGTGAGTTACGCGTATATTACCAAACAGGCCGAAATATGCAGTGATCAAAGAATTTCTTACAAACTATTGAATAGATTTGAACGAAATTTTGAATATATATTCCTTACTACCTAACGGTGATTTTTTAGCTTACAAAATTTTTTCGATTTTACCTTCGTTTGCGATTTTTTTTTCATTTCACCGTCATTCTTGATTTCACACTTCTTTGTATTCGGCCCGTATCGCCGGGTATCTTCTAAACTGCTAAACAGATTTTAACGAAACTTAGTATGTAATTACCTAAGCTCTCAACGGTGATGTTTTGCTCGTGATAATTTTTCTATTTTCCTTTCGTTCGCGAGTTATTCAGGCAGGGTGACCCAGTGGTTAAAGTTCAGAGTACCAGATTGGCGCAGAGAGGCGCGGGTTTGATCCCAGCTCTGTGCGCCAGTTTCTGGTCAGAATCGGCAAGGAGGCCGGGCGGTTAAGCATAGCAGAATTGTAGCAGTGAGTTGCGAGTTCGAGACCGCAAAATGCTGTGAATGTTCTGCGATGTTAAGAATCGGCGACAGGCCTACGGCCTAATAACGCTGAAACCGCTATTATTATTTATTTATTATTATAGGAGGAACGACCGGCTTTTCTACCGGCCGGTTTAACCAAGAGGATTATACGTATAGCCGTATAACTCGCAAACGAAGGCAAAACGAAAAAATTGTAAACATCACCATATGTATTTAATTGTTTGGTGATTACTTGATATGATGAATATGATGGTTCATTGAACATTTGATAAGTGTACTCATTTTTAGTCCGTTGCTACACATGAAACACGTTGTTGCGAGCCAATTTACTTGACTTGATGTACGTATCGATGATACGAAGCGTATCATCGATATACGCAGTCTAAACACGAATATCCTCTCGAGGATGACGTGCATTAAACGTTCCAACCCCTGCTCGTGAGTTCCTTTAGAGTTTATACACCTGGAAACATGCAACAAATTATTGATTATTGTATTGTTATCGGGAGCTGAGCTTCCCTAAAAGTTTCAGAGCGCTAGCTAATGGGAAAGTTGGTGAAATATCGATTGCAAGATTTGATCATCACAGACACGAAAGCGAGCTAAGAAAAACGTGGCCATATAACTCGCAAACGAAGGCAAAACGAAAAAATTGTAAACATCACCGTTGCTGAGGTTAGGTATTTAAATACTAAGTTTCGTTCAAATCTGTTCAGCAGTTTGGAAAAAATTTCTTGAATAATGCGAATTTAAGCACGTATTGCTGTTTAAATCACGAATGAAGGTGAAATGAAAAAAAACTCGCGAGCGAAGGCACAATCGAAAGATTTTTCACGAGCTAAACATTACCGTTCGGTAGTTAGGACTGTAAATTCAAAATTTCGTTCGAATCTGTTCAGTAGTTTGGAAGAAATTATTTGCGTGTGTAATTAGTTTGGAAGAAATTACTGTGAATTTCGGCCCGTATTGCCATATAACTATGGCAAAAACGAACGATGGCAAAATTCAAACAATTTTCACGAGCAAAACTTTATCGTTAGGTCCTAATGGATACGAGTACCAAGTTAAAGTTTCATCGAGTTAAGTTCATTATTTTGAGAGACATTCCTCGATCATTGAATGGCCGTGAATCATTGAAATTGGCCGTGAGACCGGCCACGAGTCCGGCCGTTAATTTGTCCGAGACGCAAACCCAGGAGAGGTTTAAAACAGATCTGGGTGAAAAAACCATCGCTGGGAGTCAGGTGCTGCACGTGTTGTGCACAAATCGTCAAACAAGAAAGAGTTCGCACTTCTAAAATTGACTTCGGACTACCGCCCCCCTATCGCCCCCCAAACACCCTCTTCTTTATTACCGCCCCCCAAAATCTTTTCACCGCCCCTAGGGGGGCGATATCGCCCACTTTGGGAACCACTGGTCTAATCGATCTGAAATTTTGCACACTTGCGTAACTTCGGAAACAATGCATGAATCAATTGACAGAATGAACAATTTTGAACATTTAATTTTGTTTAGTATTAAAAAAATTTATTTGTTGTTAATATACGGAAATAAAATTGGAAATTCATTTTACCTGTGTAACATCGGAGACACGGGAATCTTTAGAAGTGTTGTCATTAAAAAGTAATTTTAGGCGCATATTATTGTTTTATGTCTCCTTGCCTTCTATAAATCTTATAATCGATATTTAACACACTTCTACCTGTCCAATCTATCTGAAATTTTGCACACTAGCATAAAGTCGGAGACTTTATTGAATCAATTGAAGTGCTTGAATCAATTGAAAGAATAAATAATTTTAAAATTAAATTTTGTATACATTGTAAAAATTTAAAAATAATATCTTTCAACTATTATAAAATATAATAAAAAAATTATGCGTTTAAAAATTACTATTTAAAGTCAACACTTCTAAAGAATGTAGTGTCTCCGATGTTACATATGTACAATGAATTTCAAATTTTATTTCCAAATATTGAAGAAAATTAATTTATGAATGGTTTTCATATAAAGAAATTTAAAGTTTCAAAAATATTTATTCTGTCAATTTATTCGTGCATTTTGTCTGACGTTACGGAGGTGTGCAAAATTTCAGATCGATTGGACAGGTAGAAGTGTGTTAAATATTGAAATATTGATTGTAAGATTTGTAGCAGACAAATTTATTTTTCCAATTTCTTTAGTATTAAAAAAATTATTTTTCAACATTTTTAAAATTATTTATTCTGTGAATTGATTCACGTATTGTCTCCAACTTTACGCAAGTGTGCATAATTTCAGATCGATAGGAAACGTAGAAGTGTGATATATATCGATTATAAGATTTGTAGCAGACAGACCAACAAACAAACAACAAGAAGTGAAGTTAAAGAGAAATGTTGTAAAAAAAAAATCATTGTACATGTGTTACATCGAAGACACTGGCCTCGTTAGAAGTGTTGTCTTTTAAAGGAAATTTTTAAACGTATACCATGTTTGTGCCTTCGGTGGGTCAATTATGAAGTTGGATTTCTATTTAAACCGTATTTGCACTCATGTTCCCTGCACTCAACTGTTTCATTCGCTGCGATTTTGCTCGTTCATTGCCAGCGTGGCGCTGCTCACAACATCCTCGCTAATTAGTGAACAAAAATGGGGCAAAAATTCATCGCTCTAACTCCTTCTCAATCCCATGAATTTGATGACGTAGAGTAAAGATTTCAAAGATTCCCTCGGTTCCACTTACGTGGGCACGGAATATTTTTGGTTCGTTTTCAATCTTGCTGCAGCTGCCACGAAGTACGGGACGGGAAGCATTCAGCACATTGACTGGCGTGAGATATTACCACTTCTCGGAAATATGGAAGCGACTGACTTCAGGCGCCTGTTAGTGGTTGAATCTTGTTGCCGTATGATGTAAGCCCATATGTGTGTCGATAATACACAATACTAACACTTTTATTCAAATACTAACCCTATTATATACAATATTAATATTGATACTCGCTTATTTTGCATGTGTTGTAGCAAATAATGAGGACACGAACGATGAATTTATGCATCTATAAATCATGCGACTTCTAAGCACAACGAATGATCAACTTTACGCGTGGCTAACGTGTCTATACTTCATTTTCATCGCAATTAATGCCGTGAAGAACAGTTCCCTCAAATCAACAATAATACTACTTCAATACCTTCGGGCTGTAATTAAGTGAAATGAATGATGTATGATTCCAATCTACGTTATATTCAAAGCATCACGGACAAAACATTTGTGCTCTGTATGAGAAATAATTGGCAGCAATTAGAATGACGTATGAGACCTAAATAAAGAGTAGGTACCAAGATTAATAAGAAGTAAACCCTAAGGTACATTTGCGAATTAACCAGAGTGTAGGTATGTTCGGCACTGAAACTCAGCTCCAGAAAGATAAATTATCAATATTGATTATGGTTAAACTAGAAATTCCTTGTAGTTATCATTCACAATTGTGTTTATTATCATGTTAGCTCGATTAGAAGCAGATTGATCCCAGTACTGAATCGCAGAGGCATTAAAAATATTATAACTAACTATGGCGTGTGTGATAGTGGAACGAAATTTAAGATAATAAATTGGCATTGAATATATTGCAGAAGCATTTGAGATAGCGGATCACCTCTCAAGTTTATTTATGGCTTATTGCCATTAAATGTTATCGAACGTGATGTAAATGCGTTTTGGCTTGAAAAAATGTACTGGCTTTTTATATTTTGGTGGTTTTAAATGAAGAAAATATTCAAGGCGGTTAATGTGATTTTAATGAAATAGTTTGACATATGATTCAAATTCGGGCGTAGGAAACTATATAGAGTTTCTCGCGTCCACAAGATGTTTTTCGTCCGGATGTTCTCTCTTTGCTTGACTTAGAAAGTCGCCTAGCTTAGCGTTACGTGTTTGCAAACAAAATTACGTGTTTTGATTCTGAGGTTATTTGGTGTTACGTTTTGTGACCTATCATGATACCAATGATAGATCTGATTAATGACTTCTTAAAGTTTTACAGTGAGGACCTGTTACCGATATA